CCCCAAAACCCCAAAACCCCAAAACCCCTCTATTCTCAGATTAGACTGAATTAGACAATTACATGGTCAAGTGATTCTGCAACCAATTCATTTTCTTCTGAGTCTATTGTATACTTGATAACAGCAGTAGCTCCATAGCAAGGGCTTGATGCTTTGTACTCCTCATCAAATAGTTTACAGAAAGTGCCGTAGCAATCTGAATGAGAGAACCTAAGGATGTGAGTAAAGAATACTTACATCATAACCACTTTAGTATCTCCAGCTTTGAAGGAAGGGTCGTTGAGGAATTGCTGAGTGGCAATATCCAAGAAAGCTATAGATTAGTAAGGGTATTGTACCTTCTCTGTATCTTGACTTTGTTTTAGACTCTGGATACTTTGGTCTATCGACTGTTCTGCTCTCATCATCAACGTATCCGAACTAGAAAGATATCTTTTAAAACCTTTACCTTTGAGTCTTCCTCACAATAGTCTTTGATAAGGTCTTCTGGTTTCTCTTTATCATAAAGAAATTTTCCGAAGGGGTTAGATTTAAAGTTTCCAGAAGAATGTCCGAGGCAAATACTTGGGTTCACTAAGATAACTCCTTCATGCTCCTATAATAGATTACTCTGAGCATTTACTGTCCCTTCAGCATCATTGTAACCGATTGGGTTAGCTAAGCAATGGCAAATTGAATTTGCAGTCTGAATAGTCCTAATGAAATGAGATGTGACTGCAGTAATCTTTCCTTCATATCCTAATGTTTCTGTGATGTAAGTATTGATCTTCTCTAAAAATATTTAAGAATTTCTCAATACCTCCGTGTTCTTTAAGTGCACCATAGCCTCTTTTAGAGAGGGGTGGATCTCCAGAGAATTTAATGCGACTAAACTCCTTGACCTTCTTGTCATCAGCTCTTTCTCCATGTCTGGTGAAGAACAGATATCCTGTCTTGCTTGAAGAAGATTCCATATTTGTTAAATTTGAACCAAAATTGGGGTTTTGGGGTTTTGGGGTTTTGGGGTTTTGGGGTTTTGGGG